TTCAATGTTTTGGTTCCACCATCTGTCTGTCTTTTATATGTCCTTCCACATCAATATCTGTCTTAGACTGTAAGCTTTAGAGAGCCAGGGTTGCATTCAAGTTGTGCTAATGACATGAGAGAGAGATTCCTATAAGGATGGATATTTAATAAATATCCATAAATAAATAAATGAAATGAAATGGTTTTTGATCTTGAAGAGGAAAAAGGAAGAAGAAAATCTGTCTCTTTTCTTTATGGCGTCTGCCTGTAGTGTCTGGCCTTCTATTAGATTTAACACTGGAGCTGGAAGATGAACCCTGTGCCTTGGAGCAGCGCATCCCTGCTGATGACAATAAACCCTGTGCAGTAATGATGGTTTTGCAATGGGTCCCTTCACAGGGGCTGCTCATTGCTGCTCAGAGGGAGGGAAGAAGCAGTCACTGAGCAGGGAGAGACCTCAACATTATCCTAGCCTTTATCCAGAGAGAGAAGGTGCTTGGCTCTTGACTGCCCCATTTAGGAAGCTGCATCCAGGGCACCAGTGTGTAAACATGCCCCTTTCTTGCCTCTTTTTGGCTCTGAAATGGCTCTTGAGTATCGTGTCCTCTTTTTTCCCAGGCTGTCTGTAACCAGTTGCAGAGCCAGTGGCTAGTACTGGCACTGGTGTAGTAGGGAACATCATTTCATGATGGGCTAAGCTTTAGACACCGACTGTCTTGAGGCCATGGGCATGCTAGAGTCTGCGTGAGTCTCCTCCTCCTCCCTTTCTGGTTTCCTGATGGCCAAACTCTTCGTACAGCTGGAAGCTAGGCCATGCCAAAGAAGCAATGCTCCGTGCCATTGCAGGAAGCATGCAGACTCGAGAGACTGCTGATTTTCCAGGAAGATTTTCCCCCAGCATTTCATCCAACAGCCTGTGTCAAGGCACCAGCAAGTGAGCCCCACGTTGCGGAGTGCAATGGTCCATCTCCAGTCACAGCAGCAACACTCACACCCCTACCTTTGCATTCCTTCCTGTCTCTCTGGCCATACCTTTTGGAGTCTCCTTTGCTGGTTGTTTCCCTTTATCCCAGTCTTCAAACATCAGTAGGGCTGGGACTGAGTTCTTGGGCCACATCTCACTTCTGTCTACACTCACACCCCAGTGAGCTCATCCAGAGATCCAGGAGTTAAGTATCTTCTATATGCTGTTCACTCCCCAAATTACAGTTCAGCCACAGATCTCTCCCCTGGAGAGGTTCATTTCCTATTACCTACTCAACAGTCCCACCTGGATGTCTAATAGGCACTTCAAACTTAAAGGTCCGACATGGCTTTCCTGATCCTCCTGTCTTGACACAGGCTTCCCTATATCCATAAATGACAATTCCACTCTTGGCATCATTCAGGACAATGGCCCTGGAAAATGCCCGACCTCTATCTCTCACATCCCATATCTGATATGTCTGCAAATGACATCATCCTGAAGTCTGACCTCATCACCTCCATGGGTGTCAAGACCAGGCGTAGCATCTCCTGAGGCGGCAGCACCCAACAGGACTCCTGCCTCTCCCTGGCCCACCTTCACTCCATTCTGCACATGGCAGGCAGACGGACCCTGACTACTGTCAGATCATGTTGATTTTCTGCTCAAAACCCCCAGAGGCTATTTGGCTCATTCCCAATAAGAGCCAAGTTTTCTCACAACAGTTTACATACCCTACTCCCTGAGTCCCACAGCCTCACCTCGCACCTCACCCCCTTACTCCTTCCTCTCCAGCTGCATAAGCCTCCTCTGCTTTGGAATCATCAGTGTGGGCCCCTTCTCAATAGCCCCTGGAAGGCTCTTTTTCCAACTATCCACATGGTGCTTTTCCTTCCAGCCTCCAAGTCTTTATTTCAATGCTGCCTTCTCTGTGAGACATTCCTTGGCTGCCGCCTCTAAAATCACAAACCTCTCAACACTCTTCCCCCTTCACTGCTTCGTCCCTCTCTGGCCTTCTATTGAATTTACCATAGGTCTCTCTACTAGAATCTAAGTTCCATGAGGGCAGGGAGTTTTGACTCTCTTGTTCACTGCTCTATCACCAGTGTCTACAACAGTGCCTGGCAGAGAGCAGACCTCTTGTTTGTGAATGGGTGGACTGATGAATGAATGAACTGGAACATATTTTTGTATATGACTTATTGGCTACTTCACTTACTCTCATATTTAGCGAAATACCTCCAGACTGCAGCTTTCTTTCTGTTGTCCTTCCAGCCCATTTCTTCTATGTCCTTGGTGGCTTTTGCAGCTTTCCCTAAGAAAACGGAATCACTGGGCTCCCCTCAGGTATGCTGGGTACCACCAAGCAGCTCCCAGCCCCACCTCCCCAGCTTCACACCATGGGCATCCAGACGCTGCCCAGTGGGGAAGCAGAGTCACCACAGCCGCTGATCAAGAGCGATCAGCCTTTTTTCTCTTAAAAGATCACTTAGCTTTTGAGCTGAAGAGAGTTGGCACACATACCATACTGTAATCTTTCTGAAATTTCAAAGGCTACAATATTATAGTAATCGAAACACATATGCTTCAAACATAGCAGGATTTCTCCTGTATTTGTTTCAAAGGGCAATGTATGAAATTCTCAAGACAGGAAGCTAGTTTCTGAGCCACTGTCTTGCCTTTTTTGCAAGTGTGTTAGGCCTCTGATTCCTTAATCATTTCATCACATCAGCTCTACTTTTAACTGGACTTCCCCAGCAGACTCAGTCCTTTGGACTCTCTTCCTGGCTCCATTCCTGTCTCACATGTTCCACTTCATTGCACGTGTCTATCTTACTCTCTACACCTTGCTTTTAAAAATATTCATTCCCCTGCCTCATCCCCTGGAACTGTCTCATGAATTAGCATTTCCACTAATGAAGGAGCCAGGCTCCCATTCCAGTCCTCCTAGAATAAGAAACATCCCCAGGGTTCCTCCAGCCATAAGGGAATAGTGCAAAGTGAGAGAAACCACAGTCTCCAGGGTCTAAGGCTATCCTCATCTAGGCTTAGGAAAATCTTGGCAGAGACTCTGTCTATTGGGGTAGGCAGCTCATTATGCTCTTCTCAAAGTTTGTCCAGAAATGCGGGTAGATGGGCCTTGTCAGTGTGATGTGCTCCAGCAGCAAAGAATACTCTCATGCTGGGAACTCTCCTAGGAATTTATTCATTTAATGGGTAAGATGGAGAAGCAACACACCCCCACCCCTCCACTTGGAAGCTCCTGCTTTAGGCAAAGAACAGAATAGCTATGTTCTATTATCTCAGTGGACAGCTACTGGCTGCTGAGCAGGTAGTGGCTACTGCTGGATTTTAATAACACATGCTACAGAAATGCTCATCACCATTAGTCACAAGCTAGGGACCATGCTCTGACTTAGGGTGAGGCCAGGAGCCAGGATACAAATACCTGCATTTTAGAGGTATGCTTCTCCGTGGCTCACAGGCCACCTTATTTATTTACCATACCACTCAGTGCCACAAACTAATCAATTACTCCTCAGTTCCATCAACAGTGTAATAGAAGCTGTCAGGCATTCTTCCAGGAAGACCCTCAGCGGCATCATCACTCATGTTATAATCCATCAAAGGCCCTGTCTTCCAACTTGCAAAACCACTTAGTAGAGCACAAAGGCCTCCTTAGGTTACTAAATTATGTTGTTACCAGTCCCTTGTTGTTTGTGTGCTTTAATTTTGTATTTGCTCCTTGAGCAGCGTTATCAGAAAGGGAGCAGTTGATAGATTTATTAAATCTATCTTTGAAATGAGAGAGCAGAGATTCTGGTCCTGTGAACACCTTTGGCTGTCTTCATCCCTTCTTCCTGCACCTGTTCTTTCTCTTGGTGGCTTGTCTCATCGTCCTCTCTGCTCAGGGTGAAGTTCCGGCTCCCGGCCTTTACCGGCATGACTCCATGTGGTGCCCTGAATGGCTCTTTAACCTGTTTGCTTCCTGGACTACTCTAGATGCTCAGTGTTTAGGAAACTTTTTAAGTAAGGCTCCTTGAGAGGATTAAATGCACCTATTCACACATGTATATTGAAAAAGAAAGATACTGCACACAGAAAAGGGAAGAAAGAGTGTGGTTAGAGTCACAGAGATCAAGGCCAAATGGGATACATAGAGCTAATGCAAAGGTCCTCAAATTTACCATGCATCTTGATCACCTGAGGAGTTGTCAAAGCACAGATTCCTGGGCCCCATCCCCAGAGTCTCTGGGTTAGGAGGTCTGGAGTGGGGCCCAAGAGTTTGCATTACTACCAAGTTTCCAGGTAATGCTGATGCTGCTGGCCAGGGGCCACGCTTTGAGAACCACAGGGCTAATCTGATAAAAGCCTGAATTTCCATGATCCATCATGTTGTGCCTATTTGTGAATCAACATCATACATTACTCTCATTTCTATCCCAGCAACAGCCTATCTAACAATGGGCCTCGTGAACCCCCGAGGAAGGGATCTGTCTTGATTTCCATCACCTAATTGCATTCCGTGGAATTCCTCTGGGCTTCTCCCAACCCTCCCGTTTAGCACTTCCACAGGTCTTTGAATCTAACCCCTTCGAGGAAAACCTTTGACCAACTTTCCTATGAAAAAGCCCAGCGGTGCCTGGAAATTTTCTGCAAGGGGGGAAGGAATCCTGAGCAGGTATGAAGTTTTCCAGACATTGTTCCTTTAAAACAAGCCTGTGCTTTTAAACAGGAAGCCTGTTTCCCTGCCCAAAGAGGTGGAACCTGGAGGAGAAGGATCTCTGATTTTAAAAAAGCCTCTGCCTTAGCAAATTCTCAACTCTCTTTTAAGGTGAAATATTCTAAAAGGAGCATAAGGTTTTACAGATCGACAGCTGTGATCTTCCACATGTGACTGATGTCTGTGTGTAGCAAGTGACTGCCATCAGTGAGGTAAGTGCTTTTCCAGAAAGGCTCACCTGGGGCTGCCAAGAAAGGGTGACAGTCAAGGTTTTGTGCTGTCTCCTCTCCCCCAGAACCCAGCCCAAACACAGAAGAAGATGGCTGCTCACTGTTTCGGGGCTTCTCCTCATCCATGCCTTCGTCCTCGTTCTCTGGGTCAATGTCTTCGGCCTGAGTGATCCAGTCCAGGTAGCCTTTGAGATCCTCTTCCAGTTGTTGCTTCTCCCGCAGCTTCTGGAAATCTCCCCGGGCCTTGGCCTTCTCCCTCTCTTTGGAAAACTCTCTGGTGAGAGTGAGAGGAGGGGCAGGGGAGGAGAGCAAGGAGGGAGCACCAAGAAGGGTTGGGCATGGAAGGAGAGATGGAGATAAGGAGAAACAAGGTCTTAATTGCTTTGCAGGGAGAAACTGCCCACACGGCCCTGCTTTCCACAGAGTTCCTCTAGTCAGCCCAGGTTTTGTCTACTCTCACCTCAATGGGAAGTGGCACTAAGGGGACATTCCAGACACAGGCCAGCAGAGGTTAAAGGGGGTGGATGAAGTCCATCTCCCTCTTTTCCTGGATCATGATCACGGGCTTTGCTTTTTAAATAACTGTTCTCCAAAGACCTGGAAGCCTGTTCTGAGCAGTAACTAAAAGCCTCCAGCACCGCTCCAGAACCTGCATTTCCATCCCTCCCAGTATTGAGTGGCAAGTTACAATTCTCCCAAGGGTCCCCGGGTGACACGAAGTGTTGGGACTGGCAGGCACCAAAGCCCACTCACTCGTGCTGGGTCCTTCCCAACTCTGGCTTCAGGGATGTCTCACTGGTAGCTCGAGATTGGCCACAAACGGAATATTTATACCACGGTAACTGGCGAATGCCGAAAACCAGGGCTTTCCCCGCAGAGAGCCAACTGTTAAATATTTACCAGTGTACCACTGATTTGGGACTCAGATTTAATGTCCTCAATCTCTATTCTCATGATGAGTTCAACCTGCCACTCAGCATGCCTGGAAGGATTTCTAATCTAGAGAAGGTTCTCTCCTACATGGAGACAAATGAAGATTCCAAGCACAAGAAAATGTCCTGGGGCTGCCCTTTTGGTTTAAAAAATCTAATCAGAAGAGAAAAATACACAAAATCAAGATGATATAAAAGTTAAATGATGCATTTACTTTAAAGTACTAATGAGCAGAAATTGGAACTGGAGTGGGATTTGCTGGAAGAAGGGCCTATTGAAAAATTTCTGACACAAAGACTATTTCTTTTCTATGATTCTGTCCTAATTTTCTCTGTGACTTCGAATTCCCTTTCTGAGCAAGGAGGAGGCTAGCAGCAGAAGGCAGTCATCAACAAAGTGAGTTCTCAACCCTCAAAGCAAGTCTGGGCCTTTTCTTCCAAAACAGGTATAAGGAAGTATTTTTGGCTTTGATATGCAGTCTTTTGGGAACGAGGCCCTTGGTGGTACATGTATATGTGTGTTTGTGTTTGTTTGTGTGTGTGTGTGTGTGTGTGTGTGTACATGCAAAGGACATCTTGGTTAATTCTTGGAGCCATGATGCCTTCCTCTCTCAACAGTGAAGGCATAGTTCAGGGCAAGAGGCCTCTTAGATAATTTTTGGCTCAAGCCACACTCTAGGAAACGCACCATGGAAGGAGGGATGGCACCACAAACCATAAGAGGACAAAGGGCTCTGCTGCTGAGTCTACCGTCATGTGGGGCAGCTCCACCAGTCCACCAGTCCATGCACTGCCTAGTGCTTGCATTTGGCCTGTGCCACTTGGGAGAGCACTGATTTCAGCATGCACCATCTTTATGGTGAGACGGGGTTAGGGCTGGGCTGGGGTCTAGGGACATTTTTAATTGGGAGAATGTGGGGGCTCTCAAGCTAACCAGTTCTCTTCAACTGTAGCCTTAGTGATGCTCTGGTTTGGATTGAATTTTCTTCTTAAATTTGGTTGAATCCAATTCTAATTGGATTGAACTTGCTATTTCTTGGGCTTCCTGCCAACTAGTGGGTACCTTCATTTCCTTCCCAAGGAGTTTTATGCTAGGGAAAAGGTGACAGATTGACAGCTCACAATGGAGAGGGAAGATTTGCTCCTTCCATATTGGGGATGATTGTAGAGAGGTGCCATCCCCTCTTCCCCTAACCTCTTATCCCTTGTACCTGGTTAAGCCTCCAGGGACTTAGTCTTGGTCCTGGGGACAGTAACCTCATATAACATTTTTCTCCCTATGCAAAACAAAAACTTTTCAAGGCCTCCTCTCTTGACTGTCTTTCTGCCTACCTCCATTTGCTCCCCTCTGGGGTGGGTTTGGTCTGGAGTTGCAAGGGGCTGAACTTCACAGTCCCTTGTAAGGGCTCACTTCAGCTCTTCTGAGTGATTTTGCAGAGGATCAAGTTTTGGTTACAAAACACGGGCCCATCCTTTTGGGGTTGGGAGAATAGGACTGGGACTCAACCGGAGGAGGGACAATTGGCCCAATCCTGTTCAACAGCATCGGCCCCATGGAATGAAGTTCACCGTCTATACCCCAAGGCCTCTGGGAATCTAAGATAAACAGCCAGGGGGAGAAACAGAACACTAGTGATTCTGCCTGGCCTGAAGACAACTGTCCTGGTAGAGGAAGGATGGGTTTTGGGAGTGTGAGAGGGATGAAGAAGGGCTTTAGTCAGATCTGGAGCATGGCTGGCTCCCATGGAGTGTGAGGCACAGCCAGGCTTGAGGCTGGATGGAAGGTGAGCCAAGGTTTCCCTTGGCAGTCCCCATGCAGTAAGGGATCTGCTGGTGGCAGTGCCTGGCTCTCTTTATCTCCTTGCCTGGATGCCAGCCATGTTTCTGCTCTGGGGACTGAGTTAATGAAGACATGGAGCCCCAGCCTGACAGGCTGCACCAGGCCCAGGGTCTGGAGTTGGCCAGACAATCAATCACAGCTGTGGGATTTGTCATGAGGCAGGACTGCATCTCTCACCAGCAATGGCCAACATGAAAAACGAGGGGTGGTGTGGGGAGCCAGGGGCCAGGGCTCAGTGATATAAGGGCAGTGCATGTGGAATCCAACAACAGCCCAAAGAGCGCTAGGCCCTTTGATCACTGATACCGCCCAGGCGCCTCATTTGTGGATCCCACATCTACAAATGCACCTGCTCACCAGAATTTGTTTGTGACTCCAGAATCAATACTGGTGGCAGTTTTAGTCACCTGTGGCCATGTGCAGATAACAAAAACGCTACGTGTCCCCACTGAGGTCAAACAAGGCGGCATGTAGAGTTCTGCCTTCCCAATTCAGCTTCAATACTGTGAGGTATCCTTTTCGCCATCCACTTAGTGCCATGTTTTCACATTTCTGTGCTTTTTGTTGGTGATTTTGCTGTTTAAAATGGCCCCAAGTGTAATGCTCAAGTGCTGCCCAGTGTCACTATGTGCAAGAAGGCTGTGACGTGCAGCACAGAGAAAACGTGGATTAAAGAAGCTAGTTACAGTGCTGGTGGCCGTGAGCTGAATGTTAATGAATCAATCATATATATCAAATAAGGTGTCTTTAAATAGAAACTCACTTAAAACGAGGTTATGTATTGACTGGTTGACAAAACGTGACCAGAGGCTCACAGGAAATAACCCTATAGTTCCCCTAGGACCAGCGTCTGAGGGTCCTGTAGTTCATGTTCATGGTGACTTTATGGAATGTAACCATCACGAATAAGGGGCACTGACTGTGTATGTTGGGCTGTCTCTTCTGCTCCCACTCACAAAGCATGTGTGTCCTGCCCTTTCATTGCTTTCTTCTGGGCCTGGATATTGCGTCTTAACTGTGGGGCCATGGTCCAGTGATATTTCCTGGCTATAAAATGCCTACCTCCTTCCTGGGTCTTCCACTTTTTGGGGACAAGATAGGCTTATCTTCCAATGGGAAGAGGGATGGGATGACGACCTTTGTAAGAGATGGTGGGCCTCTTGCCAACTGGAGGTACACTTCCCAAGCCCTCTGTCTGCAGTCGCTAAAAACCAAAAAGTAATCAGAGTCCAGTGTTCAAAGGCTTCTACTGCATTACAGAGAAGCTTTATGGAGTCATCTTCTCTACCTTCATGAGCAGAACACATCAAGCACCATTCACCCTTTCCTTAGTGACTGAAGGACATAATTTATAAGGATGAACTACTGTGCTGGAAGATAAAATCATAGTATCCTTAATTGTTGGAATATAGGTTTTCACACCCACTTCTCCCAGTCACAGGAGGCTCCAAAACTGCAGTGCTGCTCAGTTAGCATCTTTGCTCTCTCTCAAGGGCCATGAAGATCTGCAGGGCTGCCAGCCCCTTTGCTAAAAATCCCTGCGCTGCTCAGGCCTCTGGGCAGTGCCTTCGCAGCTTCCTGCTGGGATTCTATGTGCCTGCTGGCTGTTTCCTGCAGCCTGCGCTGGTTGCTTCTGTGCCTTCCCGCTTGCTCCTCTCACCCTTCCTACTGCAGCTTCTGTTCTTCCCCACCCCACTTCTTGTCTGTCATTTAAAAACATGGGATTCATCTATCCCATGGATTTGGGGAGAATGCACCACAGAATGTCAGGGATAGAGGCGATGGATTCACATCGCTTGGGCTCAACTGTGCATCCAGCATTTTTCACCTGCTGGAATTGAGGTCATTTTGGCTGCTAAGCCTCACTTTCCTTCTCTGTAGAATGGACGCAGAAATAGCACCAGCTCACAGAGTTGCCATGAGCATTAACTGAGCTAATGTAGTTAATACTCAGAGGAGCACAGAGCCTGACACAGAGAATGAGAGTGACTGTTGATGCTATCACTGTGACAGCCAATGTCATGGAGCTGTGAGACCTTTTTGAATGCTTCTGGAAGTTTAATCAGAAGTCTGATGAGTAAGTGGGTGTTTGACTGCATGGCAGACTACATCTGTACCCAGTGAGTGGGTGACTCTTCTTTTGTCCTGGCTAATCAAGACACTGACTGGAAACTGTTGCCTCTGAGTGGTCAGCCAACAGAAGCCTGATTCCAGCTTTGTCACTGCATGGGGTAGGGGCAAGATATTCAGAGTGGTCAGCCCTTGACACAGAAGGAGAGGCCTCCTTAAATCAGAAAGGGGAGGTGCTCACCCACACATACCTCTTCACTTTTCAGGGCAGACCCCTGGCCAAGGAAACCTTGGCAGATGTTCTATCAGTGATTCGGGAGCTGCAAGGAGCAGATGGCAGTTTCAGAACAGGTCAGGAAAGAGAGGCTGGGGAAGGTCTCCAGGAAAGACCAGCGTACAGACTCAAGGACTCCTAGGTTCTGAGGTTAAATAGCCTTACTCTTCTTGTTCTGAGTCAACCAACATATCTGAGTATTATTAAACTCCAGGTTTGGGGTGAGGTGTCTAAACACACCCTAGCACATTTAGGCTGAATCGGCCAAGATATGACCTTCAAAGTGGCTTCTTCTCCAACATCAGCAGCTTCTGTCATTTGATGTTGCTACTCTGATTCCAGCAGGAAGATTACTCCTCTGGGGGGCCGAGAATGACTGAGGCAGAGGCTGAGCTCGGGGAGCTCAGCTCAGGGTCCAGCCCTCATTCTCCACTTCAGGCCCCTGGCAGGGGTTTACTTGCTCAGATTTGGTTCCCAATCTCTAGGGGAAGAAAGTGGAGTTACATTCTTTTAAGTCTTGAGCTGTGGCTTGTGTTGCAGTTCAAGCCCATTCATCGTAGATCTTATGGGAGGCAGTGCCAGAGTGCTGGCTCTGGTCCTGTTACTTACCAGGGAAGCGGTGTTGTATGAGTCACTTAACATCTTTGGGCTTGTGTTCCTCGTCTTTTTTTTTTTGAAATAGAGTTTCACTCTTGTTGCCCAGGCTAGAGTACAATGGCGCGATCTCGGCTCACTGCAACCTCTTCCTCCTGGGTTCAAGCGATTCTCCTGCCTCAGCCTCCCAAATAGCTGGGATTACAGGCATGTGCTACTACATCTGGCTAATTTTATATTTTTAGTAGAGATGGGGTTCCTCCATGTTGGTCAGGCTGGTCTTGAGCTCCTGACCTCAGGTGATCCACCTGTCCCAGCTTCCCAAAGTGCTGGGATTACAGGTTTGAGCCACTGTGCTGGGCCGAATTCCTCATCTTAAAGAGGAAAGGCATCTGGGCGCAGTGGCTCAGGCCTATAATCCCAGCACTTTGGGAGGCCGAGGCTGGTGGATCACGAGGTTAAGAGATCGAGACCATTCTGGTCAACAAGGTGAAACCTCGTCTCTACTAAAAATACAAAAATTAGCTGGGCATGGTGGTGCACACATGTAGTCCCAGCTACTCGGGAGGCTGAGGCAGGAGAATTGCTTGAACCCAGAAGACGGAGATTGCGGTGAGCCGAGATCGTGTCATTGCACTCCAGTCTGGGTAACAACAGCGAAACTCCGTCTCAAAAAAAAAAAAAGAGGAAAGGCTGGAGAACTTCTAACATTTGACGATTCTGCAATTCCAGTTATCACAGGCACCAGTAAATAATAATCGTTGTAATGATAGCACCATTATTGGGCACTTATTATATACCACTGTGTTAAGTATTCTGAAAGTGGTCTTATTGTATCAACACAGCCACCTTGGCATTGGAATCATCATCTTCACTTGTTTTTCAGATGGGAAAACTAAGATTTAAAAAGGTGAAACCACCCAACATCATGCATCCAGCAAGGGCAGAGCTGGGATGCCACAATTTCTGCTTTGATTCAGGGTGATGAGATTGATTTTTTCAATCCTTTCCTTGAAGATTCACATATAAACACAGGGGCATTTTCTTGTGTTTGAACATAAAACTGAAAACCTCTCTCTACCTTCCAGGCAATGAATCAGTGACCTATGTTGTGCTACTCATCATTGTCATCCCTCATGGAAGGCACTAGTCTCCCGTGTGGCCTCACCTTGGCAAAAGGCATTTTGTCATCAATGTCTCTATTGGGCCATTCTCCATGGGAGGTGAAGGGCTGGGAGGAGATGATTTCCTCCATGCAGCTCTGAAGGCCAAGCCCACTGCTCTGCACTGCATTAGGGCAGCTGCAGGAGGAGAGAGTAGCCACTCCCAGTTTATGCACTGGGGGGAAGTAGGGAGCAATCTTTCTCTTTACGCCTAAATTTCTCCCAGCATTAATATCTCTAGACATCTAGGGAAGACTGCAAAGCAGCTGACTGGTCTCAAGCAGAGTAGAAGCAGATTGCCCCCTCCCCTACGTGACAAAGGCAGCAGAGTGGGTCACCCATGAGCAGGTCACCAGGAGCATTTAGGTGTTAGGCCTTGGCATGGCTGGTGTGGACTTCTGAAGAAGACAGTGGGCTAAGGAAATATCCCATGTGTTTCCATGGTGAAAAGGTGGCCATCCTCAGGGCTCCTTGGCCTTCCAACCACATGCTACTTCTACCATGGAGTCTCACTATGTTGTCCAGGCTGCAGTGGAGCGGCATGAGCAAAGCTCACTGCAGCCTTGAACTCCTGGGCTCAAGCGATCCTCCTGCCTCAGCCATTTGTGGAGCTGGCATTACAGGTGTGCACTACCTTGCCCGGCTACCTCTACCACTTCTAACTTCATCTGAGCAAGGGCTAAAGTTAGGTAGATATGATACTTGCAGCCAACTAGATAAAGTTAGAGGAAAGTGCATCCCATCTCCTCTATGCTTAAATAATCTATGGCTTTAAACAGTTAAGGGTCCTTTCCATTCAGAAAAGGAAACTCGGAAATATACTGCTCAGTCTATGAATTAAAATGAAAGATAATTAGATTTTGAGTCTGCCTTTGTTCAATTATGTTTTAAACCAGTCTTCTTCCCCATACCTGTTCACCAGAGGCCATGAAGGCACAAGGAGAAGTGCTCTCCCTGACTGGACAGCTGCTTGAGGCTGGGAGGGGCTGGGTGGACCCAGCTTTTGTGGTGAAGCCAGCTCTCCTCCATTGTTCACCACCAAGACCAGAGGCACATCTGACCCTTTACCCAGCCAGGACAAGGACATTCACTTCAAGGCTCCTGTGTTGACCCCTATCCCAGGTTCATCAGAGTCAGAAAAAGAATACAGCCAGGAATAGCAGAAAGAATAAATAAAAATAAATGGAAAAATCAAGACCTTTTTCCTTGGTCCTGCTTACCCGCTAAGCACACCGAGAACCAAGTTAAGTACAAAAAATGACCCTATGATGATTAGTGTAACAAAATAGATCCAGGGCCAGTCCCTTCCTACGGCATCATTGACCTGGAAGAATGGAATGATAGTTAGTGAGGCACACTCAGCAACCGAGCACGGCCAGCATCAGTCCCTGGCTCCCGGGACACTGACCCACGCAGCTCCGGGACCCAGGGACCCTCTAGGTGCAAATCAGAGGCCAAACAGCCTACCCAGCCAATGGGTCAGAATTTGTGGTTGAACTGAGACGTTTTTGTGGTTTTCCTGGACCTGTCAGGGACCCTGGGGTCCCTGGGAACCCCAGGCATGGATGGAGTGGAACCTGAGACCTTGCTCGGCTGCGTTGTGGAGAGGACATAGGAACGGTCAGCTTACCCGCTCAACACACCGAGAACCAGATTTAGAACGAAAAAGGATCCAAAGATGACCAGACTGACAAAATACACCCAGGGTAACTCATAGCCCATAGCGTCCTGCATCTGGAAAGATGAAGGAAAGTTAGGAAAGAAAAAGCAGAATTGGGTTATAGCAAAGAGGCAGGCAGCAGGTGTGAGCAGATCTGGAGGAGACAGATGGGGCTGAATGTGGGCTTTGTTCATGTGCCCCAGGATATCTGTGTTACCTGGGGCATCACCCATGTTCAAAGGATCTCCCGTGACCGCAGGGGACCTCGGCTAGCTCTGCCTCAAGAGGAATCACGGCCTCTCTGTTGTGTTATTTTCTGGAAAACAAATACTTCTCCAATGTTTTCTATTCACTTGTCTGAGAAAATGGGTCACCTCAAAAAATAATTTCTTCAGCACGGGATGGTTTTAGCTCACTTGGGTTTGCACGAACATTAAGCCTTTGGTTGTACCTGAAGGCTCTTGACCTTTGTGTATGAAGTACTGTAGCGCCTGCTGACAGGCCTGGAGAACTGAAACCTTAGAAGATGTGTGAGGAAAGATAACCTTCCTCAAGGGCTTGCCACCTGGACCCTGGGCCCAGCCCAGAAGTTAGAGGCTAAACCCCAGTGCTTCACATATACCGCGGGCCACTGGTTGGGAGAGGTAATCATTTTGCTTTATGCATTCAGAGAAAGGTCCTGTGACTGCAGCCACAGCTTAGATGTGGAAATGGTCCTTAACATGGAAACGGATGGTAACTACTGGATGGTGGAGAATGCCCTGAAAAGTCACAAACCCCTATGGCAGTCGGAGGCAGTGGAGCCCGGAGCTGGCTCCTGGATGCTGTGGGGAGCTCACCGTTGCACATCTCTTCCCAGCTTCATGTTCAGTGACCACACTGGTAGCTTGAAACTAACCGTGGTGGAAATATTTACACCACAGAGATAGGCAAACAATATATATCAGCCTCCTCTACCCGTTGCTTCTAAGATATGACTAAATATTTATCAGCCTCACCACTAGCTGGAGGGTGGATGTGAAGATAAACTGCAGAGCTGTTAATCTGCAGTTTATCTTCACATCCACCCTCCAGCCAGTGGTGAGGAAACTTATTCTGATTTAGTTTCTCAAATCTATCTCTTCTGATGTTTTCTGACTAAACTGGGTTAAATTCTACCTTCTTAAAAATGAGTCCAACTCTGTCCTTGTGAAATTAGATCATAGAAACCCAAACTTCCAAAGCACCCAAGAGTCCTGAATGATTCACATCAATGAATCTCAGCGTGTGGTCCATGGACTAATAGCCTCAGCGTCATCTGGGAACCTGTTCAGAAATGCATATACCTAGACCTCACCCTGACACTGTGGGGGAGGCCCAGCAACCCATATTTTAACAGGCCCTACAGGTGATTCTGATGCATGCGTGAGCACGACTGATCACACTGTTGTTCTCTCCACAGCTCCCAGGTTCAAATGTAACAAGGCAAGTGTTGTGGCTCGCCATGTACCCCCGCAAGGTTGCACAGCAGTGATCCTCAAAGTGTGGTCCTAGGGCCACCAGCATCAGAAACATTTGGCAGAGTTGTTAACAAAGCAGATTCCTGCCCGTTCCCCTAACCTCTCAAGATAGTCCACTGTCTGCATGTTAACCTCCCCAGGTGATTCTAGGTATGCTCAAGTTTGATAACAACCTCACAATTTCCACCCAGGGACCTCAAAGGAGTTCAGGATAATAATGCCCTCAGCCCTTGGGCTTTGCAGTCTCGGCAGCCTCATGCATTTGCCTAAGTACGCTGGATAAACATTATGTTCTCTGCTTGCCAGAAAGACTGAGAAGTACTGAGGGGTCTGGCTAGTCTGACTTGTTTGAAGTGTTACACCCCAGTATGTCCTTTACAGATTCATTCTTACGTATCTGATATTACTAAATTTTGGGTAGGAAAATTCACCCAATATAGTCATTGTGAATAGTGCAAATATTATGTCTGGGGTCCCTGTTTGAGGGAGCCCACACTCATGAGGAGGTAAGATCCCCAATGTGTGTCCACTTGGCCATGCTATGGTGAAATTCATTTGAACGTGGGTTCACTAAGCACGCCCATTTTCCTGTGTCTGCTCTGCTTTCCCAGAGCACTTCCCATGTGATAACTGCATCATGACCTATTTATTACATTATTATTTGCCGTTTGACTTCCATGCTAGAATGTGAGCTCTCCGAGGACTCTCCTGGGCTATGGGCTGATTTTTAGAGGTTCAAGATGGGAAACAGCAGGTGAGGGCAGGAGGCAGGAGAACAGATGAGAGATGGAGATGGTAAGGCCAGGGTGGTCCTCAGAACCCCATCATCTGGGTGAGCAGTACTCGGCTGCCACAGAAGGCGATTCTCTGGTCTGCCTGGCTCTGGTCTGAAAGGCAAGTTCTCCTTTCATTTCCCTCTTACTTTTTCCTCTGTATTCTGGGCCACCTACTTTGGGGGGCTGGCTGAGTAGAGAACGCATAAAGCTGGGTGGCTCTAAAATAGGGCGATGCCTGGAGTCAGGAGATTGATGTCCTAAAGCAGCTGAAATGGAGCTATTAAGAAGACAAAGAATAAAGTCAGATTTTTTTTAATGACCCAGATTGCTGACACCCTTATTCAGAGGTGAAATAAAGGATAGGTCTTCTAGAACCATTAAGTCATGTTCCTCAGTTCATTGTCTGTAGCCTTGAGGGCATCCAGGCCCAGGAACTGGCAGGATGGCCCCTGACTTGGCTGAAACAGCCTCACTGCAAAAGGAGGGGGCATTGAATGAAAACTCCCAGAGACCCTTAGGAAACCAGCATCTAATTCCTTGAAGGGAACCCAGACTTAAACCCTCAAGTCCACCTTTTATCTTTCCTCAAAAAGATAAATAGGGGAATAAGCTTCCCTAGCCCATCTCCTCAAGGCCACTCTTCAGCCCAGCAGCCTTCCATGGGTTTTCAAGCTGTGTGTACCTTTCCTGTAAGGTTTTTGGCACAGGCACTGTGGATCCAAAAAGACTGAATAGTTTCAGCAAATGTGGAGAGAGAGGCTGACACCTGCCATCAAAAGGCAGGAGGTGCAAAGCTGTGAAAGCCATGGTGCTTTACACAGAGTGTCACTGGGGGACAGGATCTGCTGCTGCCAGTGAACGCGTCAGCTCAGGGCAACAGCCCCATTAACCTGTGTCTTTCATAACCTATGTCACCTTGCTTGCTGGAACACGGGCGGGCGGCTGCCTTACCGGAGCACGGAGTGAGCAGGATGCTGAACAGGCTCTGCCCGGCTCCTCCCAGCTCCTCCCCACCCCTGCACCCCTGTTATTGTGTGCTGAAAACCCAGGAGTGCCTCAGAGCCCAGGTAAAAGCTTAGTTTACATGGTGTAAGGAAACAACAAGCTCTGAGCACCAAGTTGAGCCAACAAAAAAGTTCCTCCCTCCCCGTATTTAAAAATCCATGAAATCAGATGGACTCATGCACTGACATCATGTGGGAGGTTGGGATCTCTCTTAGAGTGGCGGCCCCCAATCTGAAGACCTGTGCAGAGGACAGCTGGCTCACAGCCATAGCAATGTCAAGAGAATCTAAAACCCAGGTCTCTGCAGCCTCCCAAACTGAGACAAAGCTTGCTTTCCCCAGGCAGAAAGCCTTCCCTCCTGGTCCAGCAAAGCCCCACTTAGTCCTGGAGTGCTCTGTGCCCCTCAGGGCTGTCCTGCTCCCACAGAGGGCACTGCATGAATGGCTCAGCTGCGTTCCTCTGCATGTCCCACACCTCTTTCGATAGACCTGAACTGCCTGGGTAGGCCTTATTCTTCTCAGCGCTCCCATATCCCTTGTCCCAGGAAACAGCAAATGTTCAAGAAATGTTTGATAAATTAAATTATAGAATCATAAGGACTCATCTAATGCCAACAAAATAAATACAGTGAAACCCAATAAATAAATAAATAAATAATGGCTTTGAAAGATGCTGACTCTCTTCCTTGATATGCTTCTGAACAGCAAGTTCACTGTTGAGATCAGGGATTCTCTGTTTTACGCAACAGGTGCACTGAGGGGGTGGCACGGAAGCAGGTGAAAAGTCAGGCAGGTACCACCGATCCTGAGTAGGTCCTAACATGGCCTCTACTCCGATGCCTGAGAAAGGGCCCTGGATGCTGCTTCTAGGATACTCGAGGGTTTCTCAGCTACTCACTTAGAATGACTCTTAGGTCATCAGCAGAATTCAGCTCTACCTTTTATGAAGCCTTCAGCAACTCTATATTCTGTAGTGAAAGAAGGCGGCTTTGTGAAGATAGAGTAGAAAAAAATAGGGTAAAACACCCCAATTCAACCCGCTTGGATGCAAAACGCCTTTGTCATAAACAAGGGATATTTCAGCTGCACAAAGATCAGATATTAATAGCTTTCTTGTGTGTGTGTGTGTGTGTGTGCACGCGCGTGCGTGTGAATTTAGGAGGAATACCTTCTCTGCACATCCAGACACGTAGTGGGATGGCAAGATGAAGAGTGGAGCTGACAAGTGACTTATGAAAAGTTAACTCAGCACACTTTTGTTCGAAGGGTCTCCTGTTGGCCAAATGAAAACAAATCCCAGATACTAGAGAAAACACTATTTGTGACTCTGAAAACCTTTCTTTTGTATGATTTCTCATTATTTTTTATAAACTTATTTTTAAGCTTAATTTTTAACTTTAAAAAACATCAGTAGAAGAACTGATCATGGAGAAATGAATGCAGGGGGCAATGGGTGGTGTCAGGGAGAGGGTGGCCCCAATAGGATGGGAAGGGACATGGGCCCTGGATAACACAGGCCAGAGGCTCTTTACTGTGGCTCACAATGTGCAGTGTTCTTGGGGATCCCGAAGGGCATGGAGTGAACAGAAGTCAACAGAATGCTCCTGATGAAGAATTATTCAGGCATCGAGATTCCTAAAGAGCTAGAAACAGTTCTCTAGTGTGATGCCTAGTCTAGCTGCTGCCCCCCCTCCCACCATTCTCACCTGTAACCTTCTGCGTGTGTCCCAAACCCCAGATCAGTGGCCATGTCATTCTGTTTCCTATGAGGAGGGGGCTTGTCTCAAGTGCTGAATACAAAGTCAGCACTGAAAACACGTTTAATTGATGGATGTTTCTGTCACCTGATTGTGATTGCCCACAATGTGTAAACAGGTCATGCTCAGAGTTCCAAACCAACTTGAATTCTCAGAGCATGCCTTCGAATCCTAAAAAGGTCCTACAAAGGAGGTTGACCCAGCAACCTCTTCCATCTTTGAGAAGGCACATGGGTAGACCATGGGAGACAAGCCAGCTTGAATTACATGCAAAAGAGTAGGCATGTTTCGATTTTTGAAAAAAACAGACAAACAAACAAAAAAAAAACATGTGTAAGTAAGAATGGAAACCGATGATAAGATTACACGTTAGGTTCTTCCCTCCTTGGTGCTTCACTGCTTCTGAAGAAGGCCAGTGCTTTTTATCTGATCCCACTCCCCACACCTACTCATTTGTTTTTAAGAGGCTTGGACATTCTGAGACGAAATCATGAGCCTTTGGCTTAAGAAGTAATTTCCTAAGGAAACCACATCCCAAACCCGAGTTTTGTTTAGTTTCCAAATGCCTGGTGCCCGCCCTCCCTTACTGTGTCATCTGCGCACTCCTCAAACAGGATATTAGGTAGAAGAAATGTTTTCAGAAAATTGCTCGGCTTACTGGGGCCTCAACGCAATGCATGGCCAATGGCTTTCATAGCTGAATCAATGTTCAAGTGTTACTTGACCAAGTCTGATCTTATTTTTAGTCCACTCTTCAAAATCGTAACAATGGAATGCAATAACGGATGTTAGGGGAAAAGAGAAAGAGACTCCGTATCACCCACAACAGGAAGCAAGCACTGCCCTCTGCTAGGTGCCCTCCCGTGTCCCTTCTATCTCAGGCCATCTCCAGTGGCTGACCAATCACTTCTTTGATGCTTTAGTGACCTATTCTTTCCAGCTGTTTGGTGATTTAGAATGAATGCCACTCTGGGATTTCTGTGCATCACTATACTTGAAAATCTTGGCTGCTCCTTCTCAAGTCCTTTAGACTTGCCCTTTGTGCTTGAAGGACAATTCATTTTTCTGAGTTAAAGACCTTACTTCCCCCCTTCTTCCCTATGGAAACTATCTCCCTAGATGAATTCAAAGCCAGCAGCATCATACCAGTACCAGGAGGTTCAATAGGTTAGATTCGCAGCGCTTTCAAACTCTGGCTTGGAAATCAGAATCACCTGAAGAGCTTTTTCAAAATGCAGATAGTGGGGCTCCAACTTCAGAGCTTCTAATTCAATGGCTTGGAGGGAGGTTTGGATATTTTTATATTTACAAAGCTTTATGTTTGATGCTAAAACATTCTCTGATTTGAGAGTCTGTGCTTTAGAGATACTGGCCTAGAGGCTAAGGAGGAGGGACGCTGGAGAGAAAGAAGAGGGAGAGGGAGGAAGAAGGAAGAAACGGCCATAGAAAGGTCAAAGCAATTAGAGAAATTGAAAGCAGGAGCACTGGGCTAGGAAGGGCTTCTGTCATGAATACCCAGGTTTCAGTTTTAGGTGTGTGTGTGTGTGTGTGTGCACGTGTGTGGATACACACGCAGGCGTGTACACACACACAGATGCGCGCACACACACACACACAGACATTTTGGGAAGGTGCTGGGAAAATCAGAGAGAGGCATGTCCCATGAGCCTGGGATTGTTTCTTCACCTCTGACACTCTTTCCATTCCCAGCCTGAGCTCTATCTCACGCACCCCAGGGGAGAAGGCACAACACAGCTGCTGAAAATTGGTGGCTGCAGTTGTTGCTGCTTCTGCTTCCCTGCTCCGGCTGTCATTATGACAGTATTTCTTTGGTTTACATCTGGCTGGTGGGGCATCAATGACTTGTAGTGGGGGAGAAGAAGGGAGTGGTGAAGGAGGAACACAAAAATACATCAGCAAAGGAAATCATATCTATTCCTACCATCCCCCCACCCTCCTCTGCCACCTGCCCTCCGTTTGATGCCATGGAAGGCATGGATCTGAAGCTTATGGGATGAGGCCTCAAAGCACAGTTTCACACAATCATTTATTCTATGGCCTGTAAGCAGAAACTGCCTGTTGGCTGAAGGATGTTTCTTTCTTTGCCTGGCCAGAGGGACCCACACAAGAAAGAAAGACGAGTTAGGGCCACTTGGGAATTTGGTCTGCTTTGCTAAACAAAACAAATTTGCCTAAGTGTAAGAAGTTCATCTCCCCTCTGTCTTGTGAATTATTCAAAACCGAGTTCTTATTGATCATGAACCTGAGAAATGTTTTCCAATATTTCATTTGAGTTTGAGGCAGAGGGGATATGACCTTTGTCACAGCACAGCAGCCTTGCCATGGCACGGGTCCAGGCACGTCGCCATAATTTGATTTAGAACTTAGTTGACTGAGCTACTTGGACTGGACTGGACTCTGAGGACTAAATCCTCGGAGCCTAGGAGCACCCCGGGTATGCAAGGACACTCAGGAAATATTTGCTGGGTACAAGGTCCTTGGGCAAGTTTCAAATCATCACTTACAGAGAGAGGTACACATGTCAGAGCAACACTAGGTTTTGGCATGTTGCCTATCACATAAAAATTCAGAAAGAGGGTTTTTGAATCAATAGGACATCGTGCTTTTAAAGAAATCATGTGATAGAATACTGTGCACCACATGTCTGTACAGTTACAAAACTCTTCCTTCCGATTCAGGAAGAAGTCAGCGCCTCTCCTGGCATGGTTTCCTTTTGATCTGGCAGCTCCGCTCAGCAGGAAGCCTTCGCTCCCCTCACTCTTCCCTGCTTTGGTTTGTAGACTTGTTCCCTGAGCAGGCTCTTAGATTGTTTTCACGATGGCCAAATAAGTTTGCCTATTTGCAAAACTCTGAAGGAGATGGTATTTTTAAGACTGGCAGCATGCTTCATTCGCCCAAATTCTGGAGGACAACGCTGGATTCTGGCAAGTCATTTCTCATGCTGAAGTTGGAGACACTCTGAATAATATATTTTCTGGAGTTTTTCCTAATAATGGACTTTGCCAGAATGGAGACAGCTCAAATATGGAGCGTGGATTTGCCTGCGGGGTAGGCAGCTAAAAAATCTGGCACTTTAGAGGCTCGAAGCCTGGCAAAGCAGTGTTGGCTACTGGATAATAAAAGGGGCAACTTTAAGGTAAATGAAGATTTACTGTTGACTGTGGCTCTTGAGAAGTGGTATTTCTATATCTAATGCATGTGGGGCTTAAAACCTAGATGAGGGGTGGTTAGGGCAGCAAACCACCCTGGCACATGTATACCTATGTAACAAACCTGCACGTTCTGCACATGTATCCTAGAACTCAAAGCAGAATAAACATTTTAAAACGTGTATTTCTAAATAGGCATGACATGACCAGCAGCCTGTTTTGGCAATAGTGAAATGCTGCCAGTGCATTTGTGTGGTGGACTATTCTAATATGTGAAGATTAAAATAGAAAGTAAAAATTGAACAGCATGTCACAATGCTACAAAATTCAATAAAAATGGTTTCTTTATATAATTTCTTTTCAGAAGACCAGGACTGACTTTTCCTCTTCACCCTAAGAATTCGTAATTCTGCCTTCTAGCGCCCTTTTGAGGAAAGGGGCAAGAAAAGGATGAGGGCAGAAGGAACTCCGTATGGGAGGAGGAGTTGAACGGAACACCTGTGCCAGCTCGGCCAGTGCATCCATGCCTGCACACCAGGGTTTCGAACTGTGGTGGGACGCACTGAAAAATAACCTTTCCCTAAGGCTGGCTGGTAGGGGAGGAGACTCGTTAGGGTGAAAAGCTCATGCCTTGTTTCTCAGGTAAGACCTGGAAGAAATCAAAAATGTTCTTCATCAACCATTCTATCAAGATGTGTATGTGACCCCTAGACCATGGGGAGGAGGGGAAAAGGAGGTGTCAGGGAAGGGCTCATGGCCTCTGCACCCCTGCCCTCTGACTGCCCACTTGCTACGTACCCAGTACAGCACGTCCGTCCAGCCTTCCATGGTGATGCACTGGAACACTGTGAGCATGGCGAAGGCAAAGTTGTCAAAGTTGGTGATGCCGTGCTTGGGCCCATCCCAGCCGGGCCTGCATACCGTGCCATTCTGGCACTGCCGCCCATGTCCTGTTTCCAGCGCACAAGGGGAAGGGTCATCTTCTGCTGGAACATCTCAAATGGCCAGAGGAAGACAGGAGACAGGAGCAACAGTGAGGGAGAGAGGTGGGCAGAGAAAGAAGTCAGAGAGAAAAGTGACAGGATGAGCTTGATGGGATGGGCAAAGCCACCATGACAACAACAGTGCAAGACAGTTTGCATCAGGTCCCCTAGATGTGAATTAAGCATGATAACAAAGTGGGCGTTCCGTTTAGGCTGTCACTAATTTAGAAGGTCATTCCTTTCCACTCACTGTTATAAAAGCTGTATTTTAATCTCAGTAATTGATTTCAAAGACAGTAGGGCCACTCTGCTGCAGTATGTCAGCATCATAATCAAATGGCCAATCAAAAACAATGATGATGCCACCACTGTAAGTGGAAACTGACCCAGAAAGTGACAGGAAGTCCATATTTCCGTTTTCTTTTTCTTCTTCTTCTTCTTCTTTTTTTTTTTTTTTGGTAGTAGAATTCTATTGACACTTACTGGAATACCAGGATTTAGCCTAAGGACAGTATCAATCCAATGGCTACTTCACATAGATAGCCAAGCAATCCCATCCAACAGTGCTTTCTAACTATATGGCTCCATTACACAGTAGAGGATACATTGCTGGGGATGCAAGTCACTTTACAATGAAGCCTAATACAGGTGAAATATGGAAAATAGACTGACTACAGAGGAGAGGGTGACCTGCAGCCATTTTCATTACAGCCTAGGAGGACACACTACTGACTGGACTTCATGTATGTCATGTGGGACCTCACAGCTCTGCCCTTTGCTCTCCAGCATGAATACCTTTCAGAAGAGAAGAATCATTTTCTGACCTCTAATCAAGACAGAGCGGCGGTGAGTGACAGGGAGCATGCTTCTTTAGTGCGGATGGGGCTTTGTCAGGAAATAGTAGAACACAGTGTCTGCGGCTAATGGCAGCAGTTGGACTAATGCCACGTGCTGGGAATAGCTCCCAGCAAATTAATGAATGAAGATGTGATTTATATTTTGAGTGTGAAGATTTTTGGTAAATTTAAACAAGACCTGACTGATCTAAGAAATTCCATCATGGGAAAACACTGAGAAAGTCTTGGCTCTGGCTATGGAAGGTAATGGTGGGGAATTCACAAAAGTCTGTGCAATCAAAGACATTGTTCTGTCTTTAGACAGAGTAATGACAAAAACAGACGGAAGAGGCCTCAGTTCCAGCAAACAAATGATTGCCTCTAACAATGAAAATGGGCTCCCAGAGAGAGAGAGAGAATTTGCTTATAGTTCTTCATTTAGAGACAACAGATTACCCAGGATTGTTTTCTTGTTTTATATATATCAAAACAATCACACGTGTGATTACTTTGCCTACAGCACATAGACTCTGCATTGAAGATGACTGGTCAGCTGGCTGATTCTCAGTTGGTGGCTTGAAATTTGAAGCTGTTCACTCCCAAGAGGAAGACAGGAAGAGGAAATATTAATCCTTAAGTAAGAGATAATTCTTAGGAGAAGAGAGTCTACTTGAAAACGTGCCCGACTGGGTCTTCCCAGCAGCAGTGGCAGCTCCTCCTCCTCGTCCTCCTCTTCATTGTCACCATTGCCTTCGTGATCATCTTTATGGCCCCCTCCTCCTCCTCCTTGTTCTCTGTCAATTCCACTTCCTTTTCCTTCTCCTCTGTCATTTCCTCCTCCACCTCCTCTTCCTTCTCTTCCTCCTCCTCCTCCTTCCCCTCCTCTCCTCTCTTTCTCTCCCACTAACCCCATCGGCTTCATAGACTTAAAATTTACATGCCTCAGAATTCATCAATGTAAATGTACAGCTTAATTATTTTTAGTAAATTTACATAGTCAAGCAGCCATCACTACAATCCATTTAAAACACGGCCACCACTCCCTGAAACTGCCCCACCCCCACCCCGCACCTATTTGCAGTCAATCCTTGCTCCCATGACCAGCCCCTGGCAACCTGATCTGCTTTCTGTCTCCATTGCTTTGCCTCCTCTAGAAATTTCATATAAATGGAATCACACACTATGAGGCTTTTTATGTCCATCTTCTTTCACTTAGCATAATGTTTTGAGTTTCGTCTGTGCTGTTGCATATATCAGTAGGCTCTGTTCCTCTTTATTGCTGAGCAGTGTATTTTCATTGTATGTTTATCCATTCACCAGCTGATGGACGTTTGGACTGTTTCCAGGTTTGGGCTATTATGAATAATGCTGCTTCCTCGAGGATTCTTGGGCTGGTGCTTAAAGTTGTGCGTGAGTCCTGTGTTTGTTGATCAAGGTGCAAAGGTCTGCACTGCTGGTCCCGGAACTGTCAGAGAGACACTATTCATACCATTTCCTCATTTCAGGGTCCAGCTCCCAGGAGGGCTCCATGAATGCAGCTGAAATAAGCAGTCCTTTAATTACAACTTCTTGTGACTTTCAGAAATGTGAAATCTTTAGAGGTTTGGATGTGATGCTACCAAAAAAGGGGAGACTAAAATGTAAATCCTAAGCCTAAATAAGACATGAAAAAGTGGGTAATAAGCACCTAAAAATTTGAGAGCTGAGAGACCAGAAAACCAAGAGCCAAGTGGATCATTAATTCTGTTGGGTTCTCACCCATTCTAGATATAGCTTTCTGGAGAGACATGTTCAGTCACTGTGATAAAAGTGCTGGAATGACAGGCGAGATGGCACAAAGAGAGAGGGTGAAAAACGAAAGGAGAGGCTTGCATCTTTTTCTCATGTTTTATTTTTTAGCAGAATAAAGATGCAGTTAATCTTGACATTGGGACTGCCCATCTGACAGCATTCCCTGCATGCCCAATTCCTGAAACATCACAAAGAGGGAAAGGAGAAGGCTGCTGAAGGGAGTTCTGAGTGCCCTCAAGACAGGAAAACATCTCTGGGGATTTTATGAATATCTGTGAAGAAGAAAATGGCTCCAAGGGGAGGATCACTGATCTCACTAATAAGAGAGAACGGGATGAGATTCGGAAACATGATCTAAAGGCTCTAGTGCTGTTCTGCTATTTAAAATCTGATTTGAACAATAATAAAAAAGATTTGAGAACAATTAAGAAGATGGTCTGGTAAAAATAGGTATCTATAAAAAGCACTAAAGTGAACACTTGAAAAAATGTGAACACACACAAATTAGCAGGTCCCAGCAACACACACTCTAGGGTGAGGAGAAATTTGCTTAAATGTAAAAATGTGTTGGTTTTCTTTTGCAGAGTCATGAAGTCCCAGGGAGGAAAGTGGGAACATAAGGTTGGAGAAAGAAACAAAGCAATGCTGGTTCTACATTTTAAAACAGAAATGAAGAGAGGTAGAGTCATTCTGGGAAGCCTAAATTAAGTTTTTGGTAAAATAATGGAGGTGAAGATTAGGAGAGATTTTAGAAACGCATTAGTAACAACAAAAACATGAAATCTTGGGAGAGCTCCAGCTAGTGATTCCAAGGAGAAATCACTAACGACAAAAATCAATTACTTTTTAAAAACTCAACTTTAAGGAGTGAATAGAATGAAGATGATTTCATTTCTAGGTTTTAGCCAACCAATTCTGTGCCAGTCTTGGGGGTAATTACTGTGCTTGGGAAGCTATTCAGAGTGACCTGGCTCAGCGCACCATCAAACAGATGGGACAACCAGAAACAAAAGGTGTCGGCATATGGTGATGTGTCTGTTGAGGAGCTGAGAAGGCGCCTTGCAGATGTCTCAGGGATTAGGGAAACTGCCTCTTCTGAGACCATCTTCACCAGGGACTGTTTTCTGGAAGGGCAGCCGTGAGACAGAACATAGTTCACCTGGATAATTCCAGAGCTTTCTTTGTGGATTTTATTGGAAACACACCTCAAAACCAAATGTATTTTGAAATCTAGAGATATATAAAATTCATAGTTTGTGAAATAATAATCAGACCATAAAAAGAATTTGATGTAAATCTCATCAAAAATTACAACAAAGGCTCACAAAGCAGTTTTGTGTAATCTAAATTTGCAGAAAATACAGTAATTCAATCAATCCAAAACCTGAACGTTTTTTAAAAAAGAAAGAAAAAATTTAAACCACCCATTCCAAAGTTTATGTGAAACTGTCCAAAACATTTAGGGGTTGATTTGAAAGCCTGCAAGTATTTGGTCTTCTACTCCACAGCTGCATGGGTATGTCCAGATTCCCGCACATTTTCCCTCCTTGTCTGCACTGGTGACTATGTGGGTGGACATGGACTCAATGGCAGCAGCACTGTGCTGTGCTGGGAGTGACAGAGTGGGTCCTGGCTTGTGATCAGATGGCAGATTTGGGAACGAAGGGAGGGCAAGCTTCTGATAGCAGAGGTTGAGAGGAGAGGCTTCTGCAGCTGTGTCCTGGGTCCCTCTTCCCAGCAGGGAGTCTGGCTCAGGCTAATGAGTGAGGCCACCTTCTCATGGAGCCTGGCAGGGCCCCTCTCTCTGGAGCACTTCTGTCATTGTCTTCTGACACCTTGGCTCCCGTGACTTATGGCCATTTCCGTGACAGAAGCCTACTTCTCTTCTGAACTTGTAGACAAAGATAAACTCAACACATAAACAAGCTGATGAGTCTCTTGGTAGGAGCAATTTCTCAGGCACTTTTCCTGGTTTACTATCAAGGATGGACAACGTGATCCTAAATCGGCCATTCCAACTGGGGAGGCCAAGTCTTCTCTTTGTCCTAAACACAGGGGAGGCCATGATAGGTTCAGTACTGGGGGCGACCTCTTCCCTGGGCCCTGAGACTATGGCCTTGAGGACGGCTCCCTCTTTGTGTCATGCTTTCTTTGTCTACCATGCCTGTCATTTTCAGACTATCCAGGGTCACTGAGGCCTGATAGCAAAGCCCAGGACTTTCAACCAATATTCAAGGCCCTCCCTTGCAGGATCCCACCACCGGCAGAAAACACCCTTGGCTGCTTTCCCATTAGGATGATGGAGATCACCTGCATTTTGGAGCCCCCCTCCTTAGCTCTGTGGTACACAGACATCTGATTGCACAGCGGGGCTGCTGTCTTCTGCTCTCCCCCGTTTTGTTGGTGAGGACCTCACCATCATTCACTGCTGAACTGATGGGGAATCTTTGAGACTCTACCTGTCTGTGACTTCCTGAGGAGTCTGGGTCAAATGGGTCATTGATAATTTTAATACAACTGTATCAGCTTTAGACATACCTACCACAGTCAGCTCTTATAGAGTCTTAAAATGAATTCTCACAGAGCCACACAATTCATATAAATTTATTGGTTCTGAGCTAGCTACAAATCAACCTGAATAAAAGGAAGGATTTTAATTAAAGAGGAAAATATTATTCATATAAGGGTTGCATTTCTTGAATCAAGGCTGAAAAATCTCAGAATTTTAGCTACACATAAGACCTGCCTTTTCCAATTTAACAAGGATTCTATTTTGAAAACATGATAGTTTATTTCATACAATTATGACCCAAGTAATTTGGAAATTCTCTCTAGAGTGAAAAAAGTCTCCTGTTAAACAGACTTCCATCAAAAAAGTGAAAGCATTTGTGTGATTCTGTGTCTAAAGGAGTATGTTTTATGTGGTTTTTTGTATTGTTTTGTTTATAGGACTGTAGCTATGTGGAAATAAACTAGAAACCTCACAAAAACACAGTTAATCCATCCAGTCAAACCAGATCATACATAGAAAACAATCCACTTTGGTCTCTGCTATGAATTTCACTCCCTGTTGTTTGGAAGCTATCCCTCCTCACCCCAGCAAGGCTAGAGGGGTCCCATTTAACTGAATGCTGGCACCAAATGGGAATAAGCTGTGGGGTCGATGGAGAAAATTAGGTATCCTTCACTGTTCCCAGCAGCTGATGCTCCCCTTTCTCCACCAAGATGCCAAAAACTAAGATGATGGATCTTGCTGTGTGAAAAAACATCATATACATTTAACACAGCTAGCCCCTTTGGGGAGGGGGGTATTTTTTCAACATGTTATATGTGTTAAGCTGCTTTATATGTCTGTTTAAAAGCCTTGTCGATTTCTGTTTAAATGTTTCTTTAAAAGGCCAAGCTGTGATGTTAGTAGCTTTAGCAGCAGCTCGCAGCATATCCTGCAAGCCAAAACTCCAGTGCCATGCAGGGAAGTACCTAATGAGCCAGCATTACTGTTACATACATTGATTTATAGAAGGAACGTGAAGTGGGAAGGCTCAAAAAGGAAGGGACTGGGAGTCACGGGGTGGAGCTAAGCCTTCTCCTGGAGGGAAGGAAGTTTGGCTGTTGGCAAGGCGAGTGATTCCCACCTGCCCTCCTCCCCCACCTGGGATAGGGGCACTGGGGCATCAGCTGTGAATGGAGAAACAGAAACAATAGTTACAGAGAGGCCAGAATCAGCACCACGAAGGTAGAAAGACCTCAGAGCAGTACTGGGAGAGCCTGCTGCTTAGGGCTGAGCAGCTCCCTGAAAGGGCTCCCAATGGCCAGCCACACTGAAGTGCGCAAGAAGCAGAGACCAGCATCCCCAGCTCAGCTCTGATTCCTAAAACACTCAGGGTTGGCTTGACAAAAGATAGGTTCTAAATTATTCAAATGTTTCTCAAATTATGTCACTTATTGAAAAGTGCTGAACATAGTTTGCATTAGGCTGGTTTAACAGAGATTAAAACAAAAACTGCAACTGAGAAAAAAAGGATATGGGTCTCTGCCTCTCACTTAACCATGCCCAGCAGGTGTGTGAGTGGAGGGGCCTTCCCCGGGCTCTGCTGGTCACGTTGGTGTAGCCTGCAGTGGGAACAGTGCTGGGAGCGATAGAAGGCGGGGCCTGGGAACATACTGCCTGCCCCTCTTACCTGCTATGCCCTCCTGGTTGTAGCAGGTCTTGTGCATCTTCCCCATGAAGAGCTCCAGGCCGATGATGGCGTAGATGATGATGACAAACAGCACAAGCAGGGCGATGTGCAGCAGGGGGACCATGGCCTTGATGATAGAATTCAGAACCACCTGGAGACCTGCGGGGACAGAGTCACTCACTAAAACGCAGCACCACCATCAGTGCCGTGCTGACACGATCTCATGCAATCTTCCTACAACTCTGCCAGGGAGGATCTGCCAGCCTTGTTGTTTAGATGAGAAGACAGAGGCTCAGAGCCACACGCCAAGGACTGACGGTGCAGGGGTCTAAATCCAGGTTGGCCTCACTCCAAATCTGCCTTGGAGACTCATCCAAAGCAAAGGACTGGCAGCTGCTGTACTTCCAAGGGGAAGAACATGTTGTTTTCATCCATAACTATCAAATTGTGTAATACCCCATCTTAGAGACAACTGAGCATCTTTTTCTTCTAGAGCAGAATCTCAGGACAGTGAGAGCTCAGGTGGACTCAAGACGGCCATGCAGGGACTCATTTATGCTCCAGGTTTTCCCCACGGTGGGACTGGAAGAAGTTCCAGAGCTGCATGGTGGTGACGGCTGCACAACAATGTGAATAGACTTAGTACCACTGAGCTGTACACTTGAAAAGTGTTAAAACGATTAATTTTGTTATGTTCTTTGTACCACAAGAAAAGAAACTCTAAAACACACCCAGATCCTACTGGTAAAAAGAGTATAGGAAGAGCCTGGCTGCGCACATGGGTGTTGGTGGTGAGGTCTGGGCTTGCACTGCAGTCTATGGGGAGAAGGCCCCCCTTACTAAGCTTGGTTACACCAGAAATAACACACAAGGGGTGCCTCTCATTTAAACAGACACTGCAAATCATTTGCAAATGGCAAGAAGGTGGTTACCAACAAGTCACTCCCAGATGACACCAAGCCCTGAGAAAGTCATGTGTGAGATTCCTGCCCAGGCAAGTGCAGTGAGTCTTCACAAGCCAGGTGAGAAGGTGGAGGCAGCACCTCCTTCCCTCCAGCAGAGCCAGTGGTGCAGAAAGCCACCCTGAGTCCCTCTGCTGACACACACAGGACAGGCCATCCGCCTCCTAGTCACACCACACAGGTCACTTTTTGTGTCTTTACCTTCTGCGTGTAGGGCGTCTCACCCTCACATTTTTACACTGCCCTTGCCCCTGGATAAACAATGGCTGGTCGCCACCTCCCCAACCCCAAGGCCGTTGTTGGTGCTTTTCATTCTGGTGGTGTGATTCTCACAAGGCTGATTAGAACAATTCTCCCCAGCTATTAAGCCAAGCTGAAAAGATTTAAAAAAAAAAGAAGAGAAAAGCTGGAATGATTTTACCTGTGAATTAATGAGAGTGCTTGCAGCCTCCCATTAGAACAAGATGTTTTCAGATGAAAATGATTCCATTAATTAGCAAGTCGTACACACATTAGTGTTAGAGAACGTGGGGCCAAAAAGAAAGCTGGAAACTAAACTGCAAAGCGACTTTCGGGGCATCTGCTGGGGGCGGGGGTGGGGGATGTGTTCCAAGTGCTCCTGGAGGTTGGGGGAACCCCAAATCTGGGCTACCCAGGCATGAGGGGCATCTCAGCGGGCCTCAGTGCCACAGCCTCCCATGGCAAGAGAATGGCAGGCATGGGACATTAAGGGACACTCACTGGGAGGCTCTCCTCCAGGCCGCAGCTGGAGGGCTGCTCAGCAGGCTGCCTCAGGCCTGCTGGAATGTTGAATGCCTTCCTCGGCTCTTAGGATGAAGACCAAGATCCTTACTGTGCCCCAGAGGGCCCTGTGGGGTCTGGCTCCACTCACCTCTCCACCCACTGCGTCTCCCCAACGCACTCCAGTAACACAGCTCTTTTATAGAGTCAAATAAGCTTCTGTTCCTCTCACCACAGGGCCACCTCACATGCTGTTCCCTCTACCTTGCAATGCTTTTCCCCACTTCCCTCCTACTTATCCTTCACTGTCGGCCCAAGTATCTCTTTCCCCAGGGATCATCGCCCAACTCCCAGACCACAGATATTTCCTTTATAACTTCTTGGAACTATTTCCTTTCCTCTGGAGCGTGCACCTCAGTTTGAAATGTTTTGTTCCTTAACGGGATTTTAACACATTTATATCTGTCTCTCACATTCGCCTGAGTTTTGTGAGGAGGGACTGTGCCGGTTCTCCCCATTTTATCACTAAGTCCTGGCTTGGTGCTGAGGATCTATGGGCATGCAGTAAATATTTACTGAAGGAGTGACAAGACTTATCATCTACATAAATGCCGTTGCTGTCCTGGAGCGCTGGTGAGCACTGCTGCACCGACATCTGCTTTCCAGGTAGGTATCTAATGGACAGGCGAGTTTCAGGACCTGCAGGGGACAGAAGCACTGAATAGGCTGCAGAGAGGCCAAGCGGAGTGAAAGCAGCCTGTGGGCTCACTTCAGCTGTCAGCGATGCCCTAAGAATTCCCGCAAAATGCCCTTTTCCTCACATCCCCGCCCAGGTTGGGGGCCACGTCGCTCACCTGAGCATCCAGGCTAGAAAACCCATTTCCTAGGCTCCTCCTTCCACTCAGTAACCAAGTCCTGCCGGTTTGGTTTCTTAGTATCTTTAGACATGAATACATTTTTCTTACTGTATAAATAATATATGCTAATTATAGAGAAAACAGAAAATACTTGTTATAGAGAAATGACAGAACACAGGGAAGCAGTCACTCATTGTCCTGCCCCCCACAAGAACAGCCAGTGTTAGCCTTTCTGCCTATGACTCATTTTCCTCCTCTCTGGCCCCTGGGTCCTCGTCATTTGGTCAACTGGTCTCCCTGCTTTCAGTGTTGCCCAGTCTTCGAGCTGCACTTAAAATGCTCTTCCTGAATTACACACTGGAATGCATCACTTTCTAGCTGAAAGTCACCCAGTGACTCCCTGTCACTTGCAGGTAAATTCACCTGCCTCCTTCCCCAGTTCATATCAAATGACTCCCAGTTTATACCTTAGGCTTGAGCAATACACCCTGCAGTTCTCTGGCTTCGTGCCTCCAATCCCAGTGCGTGCGGTACCTCCCACCCTCCCTCCAGAATGCCATTCCCTGCCTCGCTGAGAGCTCCTTGAGCCTCATCATGTCTTTTCATCTTTGTGTCTCAGGCACGTGGGAGGGACTCCATGCACATGGAACCAAGTCACATTCGTAAGCACAGGGTGACTTCCCAAGACAGAAACCATAATAATGAAGGCATTGGAAACAACATCATTCAGTAACCACTAGAAGAAATTGAAGGTGTTTTGTCAGGAAAAGATAAGACTGGTGGAATGGTTAAAAGGCACAGGCAGGGGTTAATGTCAGTGGTTTTCACAGGATCTCAGTGGCTATTTGAGGAAGAGGGGTTAGATGAGCTCTGTTTGACCACAGGGACGGAACTATGGCCAACTGGGAAGTGTCTGGGAAAGACTTCAGATAAACACTTATCGGTCCTAGAAACAGGCTTATCTGAATGTGGAGTAGGGTGCTTTAAGAGGGGATGGGTTTCTTATCCTCAGAGGTATCCAAGCATGACTTGAGGAAGTGCCTGGCTCGGGATTCTGCCACCGTGGGGAGGCTGCCCTGGAACACCAAAAGCCTTCCAACTTGATGAACGTGTCCTGAAGACTTGCCATGGGCGACAACAGCCCGCAGCACTCTACTGGACCATTCCACCTCCTCCTGGCAAAAACCCTAGGAAGTAGGCACTATTTCTAACCACATTTTTCAGATGAGAAGAGTGAGTGCAGAACGGTGGAGTGATCTGCTCAAGGTTGCACAGCTGGGAAGTGGCAGCACAGGGCTTAGTGCCAGGTGGTCTGGCCCCTAGCCTGTGGCTTCACTCCTGCGCAAAAGGCCCCCAACACCCTTAGACTGCGGCTCTCAGCTTCCACGACCTGAGTATATAAAGCAGGGACATGTGCTTGCAGCATCTGCTGGGAAGGCGGGGAGTCTAGTGTAGTCTCTGCTTCCAGGAGAGCCCAGATGTTTCCAAGGCCACTCCAGGAAAGGCCCTCACTTCCATCTGTTTTCCTTGTGGCCCGCCTGGGGTGGCAGAGTCAGGCTGGCCTGTGAAGGCGTGTGGCCAGACTTCTTCTTCTCCACCCTGCCATGTAGAGTGTGGCTCTCAGGGCCTGGATGTTTAGCAGCTTCTTGGGATTGGCTCACAGCTGCCCCAGAAACAGCTCCTCCAACTCAAGTTCTAATTTGGAAAATACACGACATTTCTCCACCCAAGTGTTCTCAGATAGGCCACGCTCGCAGCTGATAAGAAAGTGCCGGGCCTTCCTCAGGGCTGGCTGCTCATGCTGGTGGAGGAAAAGGGACCCTCGATAAGCCTGGTGAAGCAACTGCTGTCAAACGTTCTGTGAACACAAGATCGCTACTGGCCCATGCATGTGATGAGCCTGTTTTCTAGCCCTAAATCAGGTTAAGGTCTGACAAACACATGTGTACTTATGGGACCAGTAGTACCGAGTATGCACCAGGAGAGCCCTACTGGAAAATTTGGAACATACGGTTCCATGCAAAGCTCAAATAGCACGTAACCTAGAAATTCAGTCTCGCTAATTTGGAGTTCATGTCAAGACTGCCTCTTGGTGGGTGGCAAGACTCTCAAGGTACCAGGAAAACCTTCCAGGGAGACGGGGCCTTGGGCAGTGGCATCATTCAGTGCTGAGCCTGGGAAAGGGAGGGGATGGAGTTTAGCCGGCAGACATGGCTTTTCCTTTCTTCCTCTTGCAGTGCTGCCTGCATTCCTCTGGGGTGCAACTTGACAATTCCGGGTTAGGAAAGGCTTAGGGGACCTGCGTATATAAATCATCCCGTTTCACCTTAAAAGGTCAAAAGAAGCCATTCACAGCAGAAAGCAATGTCTGGTACCTTTCTCTATGGAGGTTTTGAGGTTAGCCTGGAGATGCCCAGATTGCCTAAAGGTGGTGCTTCCATTACCTGGTCCAGACTGTCCACCATGACCAATGACCAATGAGGGCTGCCAACAGCTCACACATTCTTTTGCTTTAGAAAACAGCATCTCACCAAGCCCTGCTTTTGGGATGAACTGTTCTGCTCAGGGGCCCAGGGATACTATCACAAAAAATCTGAAA